GCTATTTAAGGTCCGTTTTTCCAACTTAAAGATGAGCATTGCTCCGATGGTCACCCCTGGAGTAATGGCCGCCGTCCTTGATGACACAGCATGTTAGATAGTTCTCCAGTTTTCTTTAGGGCGAAGGGAGAAATTTGGAAGTGGCGCGCGCGCACGAGGGAGGGGAAACAAGGAGAGAAAGTCTCCTCTTTGCTATAAAAGCTATGCAACTAAACTAGCTGGCGCCTGCCATGCAAGATAATAGCGTATTTGATTTACAACAGGACGAGAACATTACGCCAGACTATCAAGGAACAGAAAAGAGAGGGCGCAGTAGACTCCAAGTCCTTCGCTTTTCGTTTCCGGTTCAGGTGTTTTCTTTGCGCTCGAGAAAAATTTTGAGCTCGACTTGTGGGCAAGTCTAAGGGGGCGGGGAAATTTAGCAGCGAGTAACAACAATAGCAACAATATCAACACCATCAACATCTGAAAAGTTGATCAATATGTTAAACTTTTTTTCCATGAAGAGAACCGAAAAGTAAGTGGTGAATTTTACTGAGTAGCAAGCTATTTCGTCTATTTTCGAAAGGAGTTTGGGGTTTTCTTTGTACTCTTTTGTCCTGGTTTTTGCAAGTATCGAATTTGTTTTGCGAAAACGTCCATCGACGTTATCGCATTGATATAGATTGCAAGAACCTATATTACGCCCAAAATTAAATGTAAAAAACAGAGACAGGTAAAGCAAAATAACTAACTTAGAAGCTGAAAAGTACAACTTACCATGTGCAAGATATGCAACAAGAAAAATGGTCAAAATTATCCTCATTACGTTTTCGGCATCGTAAGATTTTCCCGTCAACTCGCATGAGAATATCAGTCCAAACTAACTGAATTTTGTGATACGTCATGAATACAAATTGCAAATGAAGTCCATTTAGTAATTTTAGGTCATTAATTTCTTGTTAACTAAGGGCCTGTTTACATGGAGGTGGGGGACCCTAGATAGGTGAGATAACATGTGGCGGGTCACCCCACCTATCACGTAAACGTGATAAAATTGAAATGAGAGATTATATGGACAAAAAACGAGAAGTCCAAAGACTACTGCAAAGCTGATCAGAGCAACGTGTTTTTTTTTTCCATAACAATATTTCCAACCTCTTTCGGCTGGCCATACCAGCCGTTATATAGGCAGACGGGTTACTCCACCTACCTGGGCCCCCCCCCCCACCTCCATGTAAACAGGCCCTAAGTCCAATGAATAGGAAGACACATCTTTACAGGTTAAGTATCAATCAGTCAAGTAAATATGATGATTCCAAAACAAACGTTTGAGTTCTTTTTTATTTATTTATTTAGTTTATTTAATTGCACTTTATTGACAATGATAACAGAAAAAACAAGAGTAAAAAAAAAGTACAAAAGAATAACAACAACAACAGCAACCCTATTCACTACTACAATTTAAGAAGGACGTTCCAGTTCTTGGTTGGTCAATTTTATATACACCCTTAGAGTTATTATCACCTTAGCTGGGATTCCTGTGAAAACTTCAGCTGTCCAGTCTTTCGCCTCTATTTTCTAGACCGCGATAGACTGGTAGAGAATGTCTTTACAAGATGGCGGTGAAAATTACACAGTTTTAAATATCAGCTATATTGCCATGTATTCTTTATTCCTCACCTTTTTTGCCATGGATTTAATTGAGAATATGTAAAAAAGATTGAGGACGTTGGCAAAAAAAATTTTTAACAGCAATTTTGGTACCTGTCGACGTGGGCAACCTGAATCAACACTTGCATTTTTCTTGTGACAAAAGAGCAGTCCACAAAAGCAGTTTTAATAATTGAAACGGCGATATAATCTTCGATTCTCTTTGATAAAGAAGATGCACAAAGCTGTACTGACTTTGGGATTATTAATTAACATATGTTCCTCGATCTGTATCGTTTTCCTAAACAAATGGCTCTACGTTCATCATGGTTTTCCAAATATGACTCTAACGTGTATTCACTTCGTCACAACGTTCATCGGTCTTCGTCTGTGTGTGATGTTGGATGTCTTTAAACCCAAGAGACTATCTGTGGTGAAAGTGGTGCCGTTATCCTTAGCATTTTGCGGTTTTGTTGTATTTACTAACCTTAGTCTTCAAAACAACACAGTTGGGACATATCAACTAGCCAAAGCTCTAACTACCCCGACTATTGTCGCCATTCACACTGTGTTTTATAACAAAAGCTACTCAACGCAAATCAAGTTAACTGTGGTTAGTAGTGTTGACATTAACTTCCCGCTTTGACTTGCAATTATGCTATAAAGTAAACTGCAGAGATTTAGTTTGGTAATCATTAATATTACAAGAATACATTGTGGAAAAAAAAATACAATAGACTCTTCAGTCAGGAAGTAAGTTGCTGCACTGTAGTGATGAAAGGACATGATTTTCTATGTTGACACTTGTGTAGATCCCATAGCATTACCCCTAGCCTCCATCACAGCCATTATTAGGTTTGCCACCTATTAATGGGGATGGATTGCATGATCGATGATACTAATAACAGCTGCGAAGGAGAATACATCCCTCCTTTCATGGTCATGTTTTATGGTGACCTAGCCAAGACAAAGAGACCCACTTCCCTCAGACCATAAAATAAAATAAAAATTTGGCTTGTACAATTATAATGGAGATAAAGGACATTTAAGTTGTATGTAACAATTCAATATTAGGAGTAGTGCAGGATCCAGATCTTGAAATAAAGGGGGGGCTGGTCTCCAAAAAAATTTTTTCGGCCCTTTAGGCCTCAGTTTGATCTAAAGACAAGCGGGTGGGGCTCGCTGGGCCCCTCCCCTGGATTCGCCAGTTAGGAGATAAGTGTACTTTTTTTAACCTATCCTGCATGTATCTTACAGATTCCAATTATAGTTGGTGTATTTTTGAACTCTTATTATGATGTTAAATTCAACTGGGTTGGAACTGTCTATGCAAGTCTGGGTGTCATAGTAACCTCTGTCTATCAAGTGGTAAGTATTTTGTATTGATCTATAACAGAATACATGTGTATCAAGTGTTAACAACTTTGTTTAGCATCAGTTTTGCAGCAATTTGTAGTAGTCTCTTAGTTTTGGGTTGCTGACTTGTAATAATTAATTTTCTAGTGGGTTGGAACAAAACAGAAAGAATTCCAAGTCAATTCTATGCAGCTTCTCTATTACCAGGTATTTCTATTATTGGCAGTACAATATTTTGGTATATATTAAGAAGTAATTTATATAATTTAAATTATTGTTGCAGTACTGAGAGTCTGTTGATTGTGAATACCAAGGTCATGGTAATTCTTTAAAAAGTTTGTGGTGAATAAACCATCCCCGCCCCCCCCCAAAAAAAAAGAGAAAAAGAAAAAAAAGAACAATAGCAACAACAAAAAAACGAGTATTATGTAATCAAGAACCCAACACACATTTTTAAGGCAAAAAACCTGGCAGAGAATCATATGCCTTGACAGAGGTATTAGTGGACTTTCCTCATTGTATAGACGTTGTAATAATACAAAGGACTTCCCGGCGGAGTATCAGCAGATCAGAATGAGGATTCCTGACAACTCAATACAGTTGGAAAATATTAAAGAACATGTCAAAACCATGACCTGCATTCCAGTAATGATTGCCTGTGCTTGTGCAAGAGGAAAATTTTGATGTATATCTACATTATCTGTATTTGTCTTGATGTATATCTACATTATCTGTATTTGTCTTGATGTTCTTATAGGCTCCTTTATCAGCAGGCATGCTAGCAATAGCTGTTCTCATCTTTGAACCTGTCACAGCAGAAAATGGACTGCTGTCATCTTGGTCCATGTCTTCTGTGGTGAGTAAATCCTTTATCCTACCATTATTAGACTTTCAAAAAAGTCCTTCGTCAGATTTCATATGGCGCGGTTTCATATGAAACCTGAAACCCCAAATGCGAGTCACGCCACTCCCCATTTTTGGCACGAAATGCAAACAAAAACCCTGCAAGCAAGACAAGTTGACCTTCGTGGCAAAAATGCTCACTCCGCTCGCCAAGAGGTCAACTTGTAGCAAGTCTATACCATTATGTGTGTGCCTCATGAAAAATATACTGCAAAGAGAGTTGTATGTAATTTATTTTCTGATTTTACTTGGTTAAAGAGTTCTGACTAGCTATGGCTCATGTGTTAGGTAAACAGGGGTGGTGTGGCCTTCCATTACATTTCACTGGTGACCAACCTAAAAAAATTAATGCATTCATCCAAAAACACTGCAAAAAGAACTAGATGCAGATGCCTAAACCTCATTTTCAGCATATGTCTTCTGGACCTGCCATCTTACTACTACTATCTAAAGAAGACAATGATGACAGCAGAGGACTGCAAATAGCAATGCTGTTGGAGGATTTATATTAGAGATTTTATCATCAGATAAATATTCCTCCAATGGCAAAATTATCAAGCAAAACAGACAAATTAAGAGAGCCATTTAGCAAAAAGATCTAAAATATTTTGGTTGGAATTCTTTTTTATAGTTAGTGGTGTTAGCCTCAGGCGTTGTGGCTTTTAGCGTCAATCTCTCAATCTACTGGATCATTGGTAACACCTCACCTGTAACGTATCCTTTACTCCACTCAGGACAGTCTCAATGTAGCTTTAATAATAACATAGTGTAGAGTCCTGATTTAATTTATTATAAAACCCTTCTCAATAATTTGAACCAAAGCTGACTTCCTTTTCATAATATTACTGACCCCAATGTTTTGAAACCTCCCAAAACCTTTTTTGGACCAATTTCCTTTTCCCCAGAGTTAATGGGTGTGAGAAACAAAAACTGAGCAGAAGAAATTTGCTTCAATCTAATCTCATGTTATTTTAGAGAAAAGAGCCATGGCCCTGATCAAGTGTGATTTTTCGAGATGTGTCCACAAAAATTATGACCGATTTTAAGTAAATCCAGAGTAAGAAGAATATTTCTATGTATGGAAAGACTGAAATAACTATGGAAGACTATTTTAATTTGCCAAGATCTGTTTTGATCTCAAGCAACACTACACCATAGATGGCTTCCCTGCCTCGACTATGATTACAGTGTGACAAAGTTATTATTACTGTTTACGCATTTGTCCTTAACTAGTGACCAATAAAATATATAAAGGTATAACATGGTTGGACATTTAAAGTTCTGCATCATTCTCTTGGGAGGCTACTTTATATTTCACGACCCACTGGCTGTCAATCAAATGTTGGGTGTGGCCACCACGCTGTCCGGGATTATTGCTTATACACATTTTAAACTTGCTGAGCAGAATGTTCTCAAACTACCCACTGTCAACAAGATTTGACGACAAGATTAAGGGAAAAATGAGCTGCTAAGGAACATTATAAATTATTCTATCTAAAGTTAGTCTGTTCACAGACCTTCTATTTTCTTTTAAGAAACATGTGGAGTGCCCAAATGGAAATAAAAGCCATGGAGAACTTACTGACCACTAAGTCAAGGCGGTCGGGCTCAGCAAGTGCTCTTAGGTGTGAGCAAAGCAAGTGCACTCAACAAATTTGTCCAAAAAAAGGAAAAAAAACAAATCCATGTACAAGCAGGCGTATCTTAAGAAGGCTAATGTATATTATCATGTCGCATAATAATGTGAAAAACACTGCTTGTACATTGTTCTTACATTAAAGAGGCCTATTAAATGGATGATAAGTTAGTTAGCTTTGGAAATAATAATATTATCAATATTTCAATGATTATTAGAAATTAAGTTATGCTTCACACATGACCATGATGACTTCAAGATATTGTGAATTCATTATGAAAATACGTGTATCCAGACAAGGCTTACCAGATAACTTACACAAACAAGTACTGAAGTAACATGTAAACTTAAATTATTGAAGTCATCTATTGGAGATTTGGTAACGTTATAACAATTTATAATACTCAGGGAGAGCTTTATTGAATGAATTTTAAAACCTTTTTTTCATGAATTGATTACTAAATGAAAGATTTAACTTATAATCTTTGGAAGAGAAAAATTATGCATTGTCAGTTACGGCACTTAATTTATTATGTCATTTTTTATTACTTCTGCTTTTTTCATGCCAGAGATATAAAAGCATGATATAAATAATTATGAATACAGGACAATAATATTAAACTTAATTTATTTACTGTATATCTAGTAAATAATAATTGGTAATTAATTTCAACTACTACAACATAGATACTGACTGAACATTAATTTTTTGTCCAGTATCTTTAGAAAGTGGCTTTTACTCGGTGTACGAATAATTATATGTATTACACTGCTGTCCCATTACAACCTAACGATAGGTTATTAACACTATAACATTAATATGAGCAATTAGACCTTTTGGCAATCATCTCATGCTTCATCGTCAGATAAAAAGGTATGTTGTGAGGATTATTAAAGTCATGAAAGACATTTTGCAAACTAGAAAAACTTTATAGTGTTTTGAAATAAAAACCAGTTACATACATGAAAAGTTCCTGATTTTATTCTCTTGATTTTTATATTAAAACTACACTTTCAGAATTTCACAGTTCCTGTTACAAATTTAACAAAAACAAGGAAAATAAGAAATTCTCATGCAAGGTCTGCTTTAAAATCCTGAAAACACTTGTTACTGCCAAATTTCAGTTGGTCAGAATTAGCAAGAAGAGTTCTCAAAAAGCTCAGTAAAGCAATATGTCTTTAGTGTATAGCAATAGAATCCAAAATTCAACTTGGCTGCCAACTGATTTGTTGTATTGAGAACCATCAGTAATAACAGAATTACCATGATCCTTTTTTAATGTATGTTTGAACAGTTCCACTTTCTTTCTTCAAAACCATTCTTGGCAAGTTGACACTCAGTGAGTGTTTTATTACCTTCCTGCTTTTTTAAATCCCCACCTCTTTTTTTCGGGGAGCATTAGTCAGCTTTTTTTATTTTTAAGCTTGCATTGTTTCTCTTGCTGCTTAAAAAAAGCTGGGAGGAAAGTTTGGATGTGGTCCGGATCTCCTTCCCTGTCTTGATGGTCCTGGCATTTGATTCATGTCTGGTAAAGGTCCAAAAGGGTCAAAACGAGGTCTTGGCATCCCTGGGGCAGGTGCGGCACCAGGCATAGGGTTGATACCACCAGGCATGAATGGTAAATTAGGATAAAGATCACTATGACCACCTGAAAATAATTGTTCACCTTAAGAAAAAAACATAACTACAGGATCTACTTGTAACTTTCCAGT